ACACTGAACACTGTGGATGACTGTTCACACTGAACACTGTGGATGACTGTATCACAGAGTTTGGCTGTGGAATTAGAAGTTACTGGAGGAATTTTATTTACTTGCTACTAATGGTGAGCAAAAGTCACAATACTGAAAAAGAGATAAAGAAAGAAAAAGGAGTCATGGGACTTGCTCTGGGTTTTTATCCAAGGAGCAGGGAGAAGCTAGCTATCTGCTAGGAAGGTCTGAATAACTAACAAGAAGAATATAATGAAATAATTCACTGATTAGATTCCATATGTCCAGCTCCTTCAACATAATTGACAAATTTCTTAATTGAATTTAGCATGCAATTTTAAAAACAGACTGTAATACTTGCCCATTATATTCCCCTAATACTTACTACGGAATGATTTGCCGGAATCATTGTTTGCTTTAAGAGAAACAGTGTTTCAATTGTGGACGGAAGGAAGAAACCATCCCTCGGGAACTGAGTGAGGTTTTGTACAGGAGCAGGTTAAGGCTGCACCCCGCCCAGGCGTCCGGGACCTCCCTTCCATCAGTAGAGGAGCAAGTTCGGCCGGCCGGGAGGATGTGCTGTTTCTCAGTGCCCTGCAGCTAGAAAGCAGCGCCAGAGCTGGACTCAATTCCAGATGTCTGAAATGCTACCAAGCATTCCATTTCACCAGAGAGCTCAGAAAAAGACACCCAGCAGCCTGCAGTACTTGGCAGTCAGGGTCTGCAGAGGGTAAAACCTTCTTCCTGCCTTTCTCCTTGACTTCTCACTTCTTCTCATGTCTCTGTGTACATTAACTGTCCATCGCTAACGATGAAGGTTGAAGTGTGGCAATAACCCCATCGTTCTCTCGGGTTGGGCTTGTGTTGGTTTGCTGACTGGCAAACTTCCAGGCAGGAGTGAGTGAGCAAAGGAGGTCCCCCAAGGGGACCCCGCGTAGGGTGCTTAGAGGGCAAGGCGGAAGAGGGTAGTCACGTGAGTGACAGCCTGGCTGAGCCCCCACTCGGGGCCAGAGAGCTGGGCACTGTTGTGGCTTCCAGCTCACCCTGGACTGCAGCGCAGCCTTCCTCGTGCGTCTCCAGCACCCTCTACTGTTTAGCATTGTGACTGCCACTAGGCTGGCTGTCAGCTCAGAGCAAGTACTGAAGGATGGACTTAGAGCCGGCAGGACGCAGAAGCCAACCTTCCAGGGTGGCCCTTTGCAAGCACTGACTCTTCCTCCCTGGCTTATACAGCACTATACTTGGTTTTTATCACCTGACCATGCATATATAATATATAGACACACCATATAAATATATGTAATGTACAATGTACAGCATATTATATATTATCTAAGGAATGAGAAAAGATGTATGCTGTTTCTGTTTGCCTTCCTTCACATCACGCTTTGAGCATGAGTCTTCTTGTGTATCAGGCAGACCTTCCTGTGAATGGTATGATGCTGTTTATCGCTTTACTGGAGCTGTGAGCAGGAGTGTAAGGATTCTTCTTTCTCCACATTCACCAATATTTGCTGTCTGTCTCCTTGTTGATCGCCCCTTTGGTTGGGATAGATGAACTCTGACTACAGTTTTTGTTTGCATATCCCTGAGGGCTACAGACGTTGAATGTTTTCTTTACAGATTTACAAACCTCTTTGGGAACTATTTGATTCATTTGTCATTTATTGGTTTTGTTGTTCTTCATTCTAGATACTAATCCCAAGCAAAAACACAGCTGACAATTTCCTGTCCTGTAGGCCGTCTCTTCACTCTGTGGTTCGCTTTGCTTTGTAGAAGTTTTAAAACTCTCTGCGGTCCCATTTGCCAGTTCTTGGCCTTACTTCCTGAGCTGCTGGAGTCCTTTCTGTGTGTCCACACCAGCCTGGATATTGGAAAGATCCTCCCTGTGTTTTCCGGCTGCAGTTCTGTCAGATCTTAAAGGTGATGATCCATTTTGAATCACTTTCTGCACAGGATAATGGACAGGAGTGGCTTCACTCTCACGTGGTTATCTGGTTTTCCCAGTACCATTTGTTGAAGAGCATGCCATGCATACTCCAGTGTACGTTCTTGGCACCGTTGTCAATCACGTGGCTGTAACTGTATGGGTTTGTTTCTGCATCCTCTAGTTTATTCCATTGGTCTACATGTCTGTTCTGAGCCATCTGTTTTTGTCACTGTAGCTCTGTAATGAGATTTGAAACTAGATATTGGTGAAATTATTAGGGCCACTCCACATAGTTAAAAGGGAGGTTTATTTTGTGCGGTAACTTACAAGTGAAGGGAAAGTTTACAGGGTCTGGGAAAGGTGTAGCACAGTCTGGCAGTGTTCTCTGGAGAACTCTGCTGGGTCTACCTCCAGCGTCCAGGGTCCAGGAACCACGAGAGCTGGCACATCCAGATCTTGGGTCTTCAGGGTCCTCTCTTGGCCCGACCTTGTAGGCGTGACCGTTACCGAAGCCTCAATGGGGGTTGGAACTTCCAGGTCAAAGCTGGGATGGCTAACCACTACAATTAGATACTGTGCTTCTTCCAACACTGCTCTTTCTTTTCAGGTGGCTTTGACTGTCTAGGGCAGTGGTTCTCAACTTTCCTAATGCTGTGGCCCTTTTATACAGCTCCTCATGTTGTAGTGACCCCCAACCATAGAATCATTTCATTGCTACTTCATAACTGTCATTTTGCTACTGTTATAAATTGCAGTGTAAATATTTGATAGGAAATAATATCAAGCCGTGACCTACAGATTGAGAAACACTAGTCAGGGGTACTTTTGTTCTTCCACGTGAATTTTAGGATTTTCTTTTCTATTTCTGTGAAGAAACTCACTGGGCTTTTGTTAAGGATTGCACTGAATATGTAGCTTGCTTTCAGGAATACAGCCATTTTTACAATACTAATCCAGTTGATCAACCATCCTGGCAGGAGCCACAATACTCTAGAAATATCTGTGCCCTCCCTTTGGCTATCAGAATACTGAGACATGTCAGGACCCCAAAGATGGACCTGGGGGATCATGGACACTTGTCCCTCTTCAGAATGAGGACTGCTCCTTCACCTGTCAACCTTCCTTCCTTCCTTCGGTTACTCTGCAGGGGTGTCGTCTCAGCAACAAGAGAAGCAGCCAATTCGCTTGCCACCCCACCAACAGTCCTGTGTCCCTAGCTAGCACATACCGTTAACATGGAGAAATTAATTCACACTGGCACTTATTAAGATAGAAATAAGAAAAAGCATGTAGAGTTTATAACAGAGAAGTGACTTCTAAGGAAACGTCTTACATGTGGCTCTTCAGTGTTGAGTGCCTTAATGCATCAGGGTCTACATTAGGAGACAGATGAGACACCTGTAATCCTCAGGAACTGTGATATATGCCTTTATTGTTAGTTCATTTCTCCAGAATAAAAAGAATACCAACAAAAAAGCAAATAATAAAAGCTTCACAGAATTCTTTTAAAAATTAACTTATAAATTTATTTGGTATAAATATATTATGGTAGTAAAATATTTATTTTAAAAACTCCAGGCAAAAGCCCTGTCATTTCATTTATTTCAAAGCACAGATCATAGGGGTGGGTGGCTCAGCAGTTAAGAACACTTTCTCAGAATCCATTTGGCAGCTCACACCCATATATTACTCTAGTCCCAGGGGATCTAGTCCCCTCTCCTGGCCTCTGTGGGCACCAGACATGGTACACAGATATACACAGGCAAAACTCACAAACATAAAAAATAAATAAATCTTCAAAAGACAGCTTATTTCATCACTCCTTCCTTGGAATGCTGCCTGTGTCCTCCTCCGACCTCAGAGAAAGTCCCGGGCTCCACATCGTCCATGAATCAGGACAGAAATCTAGTAAGGAGAATTCCTGTTGCAGTGGGTAGCTGTTTTCATCCAACTCGAAAAAGCTCTGAATCTTCAACACACAAGGTTCTGCACTGATGGCCAACAAGGAGTGGAGCAAGTCTGCTGCGACCATGCTGTAGGTGACTTCGGAGGAAGGTACTGAGGAAGAACAACACACGCACCACTCAGGACCCCTTCGAGCTTCCCAGAACCGCATTCTATTCTAAAGGCCTTCCTTGTTTCCCTGGGCTCCTCAAGCTTCACATACACCTTACATTTCTTGTTCTCTACCTCTCTTTCTAGTTTCAAGTTGTTGAAGGTAGTCTAGAAAGACGGTGTGGCTCCCGCTGAGCATCCAAAGCAAGCACAGGCAATGTCAGCCTGACAGTAGTTCCAGCCACCAGCTTTGGAACAAAGTGAAGATTGAGGTCTGTTCTGGCCTGAAGTGAGAAGGGCATGGCATTGGCTTCAGTGGTTAGGAGAACTTGTTCTTGCAGAGGACCTGGGTTTAAATCCCTGCACCCACATGGCAGCTCACAACCATTCCTAACTCCAGTTCTAGGGGATCCAGTGCCCTCTTTTGGTCTCTTCTGGTGTAGAGATATGCAGATGAATAAAACACATATACACATAAAAGAAATTTTAAAAAAGGGCATGTCCATATCAGAAAAAGCATCATACTCTTATTTCTATAGTTTTTAATCATAGTTATAAGTACATATACAAGCTGAGCATCTCTGAACCAAAGTTCTTGAGACCAGAAGATTTTGGGATGCTAAATTTAAAAAAAAAATTGTGTGTGTGTGTGTATATATATATATATATATCTCACAAAAATGTATACATGTATGTGTATATAGACATTAATGAGGTATCTTAGGGATAAGACTCAAATCTAAACATAAAATTCATTATGTTTCCTATTTTTGGATTAGCTGCTCAACCTATTATTAATAAGAAGAGCAACCCACAATTACAAAACTAAGACACAGAGGAACTAGATTAGCTTGTCTAGCTAAGGAGTCTGAGGCTAATGAGGACAGACATGGAGCATGATCATCTGACAGGCGGGAGCTGTTTGCTTGCTTAGTCCCTGACTGTCCCTGGCCCTGCAACTGAGGATCTTAACAATCCGTTCCAATGAGAGATTCCTTTCAGTGCATGGTGCCACCCGTTCATTTGTTAACTAGTGTGAGACTGGGCTCCTGGTGCTCTGCTGACCAATCTTCGGCTAAAGAGCTTAGGTACCTCCCTCCTTTACTCACACACGAAGACAGACGTAAGAAGAACTTCCCTTCCACCTTATGTAAGCTTTCATGTTTCACTCACACTGACTAGCTTTATCTACAACACAGTACCCTTCTGTCCTGACTACTCCTGCCAACAGTTCAGAGAACCGCTGCGTGCTGGTGTGAGGTGCTATCTTACCTATCGCTCTGTTGAGGCAATCTGGAGAGATGTTGAGAAGAATGCGTTCCATCATCTTTGACCCTACATGGACACAAGTACTATGTCTTCCATCAACTATGGTCATTAAAGCTGGCCTACAAAAAATAAACAACAGAATTTAGAATCAGATTCATGAACAGAAAGGAATGTAGTGAAGTAAAAATAAAACATGACTGCAGATTTCACCCCCTTTACCCACATCATTCCAGGTCCTTCCATCTTTACAGCCCAGACTCTCCCTGTCCACCGCGGCCTCTGCCTCTTGTTTGCTCTCTTCTCTCTCTTGCTCTCTCTCTGCTCATCTTTCCTTCCATTCTTCATTTCAACAAATACGAACTGAGTCTCTACTGCACACCATGGACTGTGCTAAATGCTGGTTTACACTCAGGACAAAAGAAAACTGGTTCCTTCATTCAAGGCTCTTGGGAATTTTATAAGAAAGCGGGTTTTGTTTGTTTGGGTGTTCTGTCTTATTTTGTTGTTGCTATTATTCTGGTTGGTTGGTTGGTTGGTTGGTTGGTTGGGATTTGGCTTTTGTTGATTAGGAGCTATGGAGCCAACCCAGAGCTCATACATGATGGTCTAGTGCCGCACTACTGACCTTTACATCTAACTCCAAGATTAGATTTTCTTCTTTTAACAATGCTGCCAAGATGACTCAATGTGGGCCAGAATAACCTTTTCAATAAATCATGCTGGACACATATGCAAGAAAAATGATATAACTGGAAATCATGTTAAGTAAAAGAGGCCAGATTCAGTAAGGCAAATACCACATATTTAATTATATATGGAGAACCCATGTGAAAATTTTATATATCCTATATATGTAATTATCTATAGTATATATACTACAGATACGATTTTTAGATATTATATTTATAAAAGCAAAAGAGTAGACTAACTGGATGAAGGAAGGGCATCAGCTGAACTGCATAAGGAAACAGATGGGGAAAGAAGAGAATGAGAACAAAGTATAATGATACAAATAGAGAAAGAAGCCATGATGAAACCCATTGCTTTGTATACCAGCCTAAAAATCAGTAAAATAACTTTAAAAAAATCATACTGGAGCAAGCATATATGAATATGCAAAAGAACAAATTGGACTTCTTCCTTATACCACACACAGAAATCAATACAGGGTAAATTACAAATCTAAATATAAACAGTTAAAACTACTAAGCCTTTGAAAGAAAATATAGGTGTAAATCTCCATGATCTTGGCTTAAGAAAGGCACTTTTCTTATATCTGACAGCAAAAACTCAAGCAACAGAAATTAAAACAAGAGACTTAACATAATATCTAGGATGTGGAGCCATTGCTTCCTAGTAAGATGGAAACTTGCATAACTGCTTTGGAAAACAGCTTGGCCATGCCTTAAGTGGCTAACTCATACAACACAGCAAATGCATTCCTGTGTATATACCCAAATTAATGAAAACTATGTCTACATAAAAACATGTACACACATGTTCACAGCAGCCCCAAGGAGGAAAGAACTCCAGTGTTCATCAACTTATGAATGGATGAATAATATAGGATATACATACGGTAGAATATTATTTTGCAATAAAAACAAGTACTGTGCTAAGGATATATCTCAGTTAGTATGCTTGCCTAGCATACATAAGTCCTAGATTCAATCCTCAAAACCACAGAAACCAGGCATGATGATGCACACTTCCCAAGTTCCCAGAACTTGGGAAGCAGAGGCAAGAGGATCAGAAGTTAAAGCCATTGTGTCTCAGTTACATGCAAATTCAAGGCAAACCTGGGATACACAAAACTATCAAAAAAAAAAAAAAAATTGAAGATACTACATCAGCTATTGATGTAATCTGGGAAGGGTCATACATAAAGGGCCCCTGTGACTAGGTCAGGAAGAACAAGGATAAGGCCTCTGGCCTCTGAGTCTCTGGATGAAACGACGCAGACCAACCCCAGTGTCAGAGCCCAGTATGTGTGATGGAGGGAGAAGTAACTATGGGCAATGCTATGGACAGCGTGATGGGGCTCCCTAGAACATGGCCAAGTCCTCTGACAGTCAAGGTCAGAAAGCTGCCTTTGCTTAGGTTTTTTTTTTTTTCCTTGTGGGCAACAAAGACCAAAAGGACCAGAAAAAACAACTCTAATGACCAAAAGTGTAAGCAGTCCAGGAACAAAGTCAAAGCAGATGAGAAACTGACCATTCTCAAGATAAAGAGGAAAAGGAATCCATCTGAACTCAGCAGAACTGGCTAGGAAGCCTTGAACTCACTGAGGTATGGACATGCTGGAATCACTGCAAGTCGTTCATGCACTGGATAACAAGAGTGGAAAGGAAACGGGAATCTCTTCCTCCCAGGCTCTCGGAAACCAACAGCACCAAAGAACTCCAGCCATCCCCAGCCATCAACTCCTACCTGAGGGGAAAGGGTCTGAGAAAACCCCAGGCAAAGACAGACACCGGAGAGAGGGGCTGAAAAGGAGTGTCCCTCTCCATCCCAGTACGAGCATCTGGGAAGATCAAGTTAGTACCTTTGCCTCTCCCAACCCTGGACAAGCCTCAAGCATTACCTGTATTTCAAAGGCCACTGTCCCTGGTTTCATGAAGACCCACAGCAGCTTACTTTGCCTGGTTGCATTCCAAACCAACTCAGCCTATCACAGTCAATCCATCTCAACCAGCTCTAGCCAACACGTTTTTGAGTGTTGGTCCTGCCAAACCAGGACCAATTTTGGCCAGTGACTGGGTCCAACCAACTCCACCCAGTCTAGCATCTCTTAGTTGGCTGCTTCTAGGCTTACCCTCTCTAAAACATCATCTTATACTTCCCTTCAGAAGGAGCCTTGTTTCCACTGCTTATGACCAAGGCCCCATCACCTCCCAAGCCCTAAATCTAGTATTTACTGCAAGACTTCAGCCACCAACCAATTCCCTGGGGAAAGCTAACATTCCAGAGTTACTCTGGAAGCTGACATAAAAAGATCACAACTTTCAGGTCTGCCTGGGCTACAGAGTAAGTTCAAGGTCAGCATGGGCAATTTAGACCTTGTCTCAACATAAAGGGTAAAAAGAAGAAAATATAGCATTTGCCTAGCACGAGGCCCTAAATTCAATCCTCTGGATTGAAAAATAAGAAAGAAAAAGTAAAATTCATTCACTTACTTGTTTTTATTTTATTTATTTTTATTCATTTTTGTTATTGTTGTTAAGACACGGTCCTGCTATGTAGCCCTGGCTGGCCTTGAACTTGAGATCCTACTTTAATCTCCCAATTACTAGGATTGCACACTGTAGCACAGGCCCAGCTTCATTCACTTCTTTCTAACAAACATCAATATCTATAAAGATAAACGAGTCTTACTGACCAAGCTTCTGTATATTATCTTCATGTATGCCATGACACACGGCACATGCATATCACTTAGAAAGGTGATGCAGGAGGATTATGAGTTTGACACTAGCCTGGGCTATCTAACAAGACCATGTTTAAAATAACATAAAAGTAAATAAAGTACTGAATACACATGTACTTACTTTATACTTCAATATTTGGAAATAACAGGAAAGGACTTCTCGTCCTTTGTAAAGTAATGCAATTTTATGATTATAAAACAATGATTATCAAGACTTTGAACACTGATCCGAAAGCAGTGGGCTTTTCACTGAGCTAGCTAACAATTTTACCAGAGAACACACATTGATGAGCTCTCTTTCACTTCCAAAGGAAAGGTGAGAAACGGAAGCACTGAAGGCCAGACAAATATCCCCTGGCCTCTGCAAACAGGGAGAGGTCACAGAACACCTTAACCTTTATGAGTTATCGATGGAACAGTCAGATGTAGGTTAAAAGTGAACAAAGTCTTCAATATGGCTGTTTAAATAAAGTAAGATCCACCTCATTGTTTAAAATAGTCTTATTTGTTCCTGGGGAATTTTTGCTTTCCCAAGCAGTTATTTGTCACCCATGGAAATTTTATTCTCCTGCTTAAGCGCCCGGTTAGTTGCATTATAAAAAACAGGATCTTGTACTTTTCCGTCACTTCCAGTCCTATGCAGTATTTTCCATCAAATCAACAAAACATCCCACTCTGTTGCCTTACCTATACAATGTTTTCTTCCCAGCAAATGGCAAGCAGCTCAGACATTGTCTGTAGACCCTGTTCTCATCTGTTTCCAGTTCTGAGCCACAATGCGCACAGCCAGCATATGTAATGTTGGGAAGAGAAGAGAAGATACCCTTCAGAGAACTGTGAGCATTTAGAGCTATCTTCTGAGCTGCTGGGACAGTAAACACCAGCTCTGAAACCTTGGCTTTAATCAGAACCACTCCTGCATTAAAAAAAAAAAAGAAGAAGAAATAATTATTAGAGCCAACAATAACTTTAACTGACAAACACAGCTAGCAATGTGGTTCGTTTATAGTCACTTAGAGTATAGGCTACACCAAGGTCTTACTCTTGGAATTCATCCCTTCCAAGAGAATCTCAACTCACTTATGGCTTCAATAAAGAACCTAGAATATAATGGAGGATTTGCCTGCAACTGAGTGAGTCTGAGTGACCATTCAAAAAGAAATGGATTGGGGAGGGGAGCATGGTTTATTCTGTCATTCACTGTAACCTCAAGCATGTTAATACCTCTAACAATTCATAATTCATTCATCCACTAAATATATACTGAATATCTACTACATCTACTATGATCTTTTGAGCCTAACTTATTTTTGCCTTTCTGCATACTAGTATAGCCTATGAATCTATCTGAACATTACTCTCCTCTCCATACTCATTTAAAGGTGTCTTTAATCTTGCAGACTTGGTCTTATATTTTTTTGTTAGTCAGCTTTTTGTCACTGAAACAAAATATCTGACATCATGTACAGGCAGGGAGATGTATTTGAGCTCACGGGTTCAGAGGTCTCAGCGCAGACATGGTGGGAGAGGACAGTAGAGCAGGGCAGCTCACATCATGGCAGCCGGGAAACAGGGAGAATGCTGGTGCTAGCTGCAGTTTTCCTTCCCCTTTCCTCTGGACCCCCAGCCTAGGGGATGCTGCCACCCACAGTTAGAACAGGCCTTCTTCCTTAGTTAATTGTCTTTGGAAATACCCCACAGACATAGGCTGAGTTACACTTCACTTAGTTCCTAGCCCTTCTTAATCCAATCAAGTTAGCAATCAAGTTAGCCATCAAGATCCTCTTACAATTATAGATCAGGAGGTATCATGTTGGTCCCTGTGCAGTTTTCTGGCTATCTCTTTGAGAATTCAATAGTGGTGACTCTCCTGAATGTCTTTCATTTGTCTTAGTCTCTTGGGGCCCAGAGATGCTTTCATCATTTCTTCTACTCAGGCCACATATCTCTACATGAGTTAGTGGGAGTGGGTAGTGGTCATATAAGCTGTAGCAGACTCAACATTACAGTTCTGCACAGACAAGTTCAATCACACACATACAGAAATTGAGAAATGCGATAATTTCAGAACTGTTATATAATTGTGTCATTTTACAAATTGGCATTCCACTTTCTTCTAAAAGTGGACTTTGCTTTCAGGGGTATTCTAGAATGCTGGGCACTAAAGCTCTGCTTCTCGTAGGGGAAACAGTGTCTTCAGCTCTTTACAAGGAGCCACCCTTCTCTACCTTTCGTCAGCAAGAAGACCGGCTTGGGACATCTCCCTGGTTTGATAGCCCCTTTCTCTTGTCTTTTATTTAACTGGAAAAAACAGGCTAGGGAAAATTGCTTGTTTCTGCATGTTCTTTTTCTATTTTCACACTTAAACAATGACAGAAACCTTGTGTCTGTTCTTGTAGCTGACCATAATAGAATGAAAAGGCTAGAGAGGCCCTTTGAATACAACCTATCAAAGACTGGCAACAACAGTACAGTTGTGGTATCCAATGGGGAGCACACTCCCGAATTTCCAAGAACATTCCCAGTGCTCAGTATCATCCCCAAGACAGTGAGGTTGTACCTTTGCTACCATTAATCATCGGTTCTGTGGCCACCAATTTGCTGACTCCTGTGAGGTTGCTTATTTTTATTTTTAAGTCTAATCCTAGGCTTTGATCCTAGCAGGTCACTACCTTGTGTAAGCAGTAGATAAAGCTGACTCCTCCATAGTAACAAATAAAAACTGTAAAGTGGCACAGCCCCTTGCTGCCCGTGGCCCTCCTTCCTATGGCAGCCATCTCTATGGTCTATGGAATTTTGAGGGTGGACACAGTTTAAAAATTATATGATGCTTCATTACCCAAGATTTCACCAGTTAGTGTAAATCTATTTTGGCCACAGTAACTTCATGTCTGAAAGTGGTATAAAAGGTATCACTATAAAAGCCTATATTTGCTGGACAGTGATGGCTCACACCTTTGATCCCAGCACTCAGGAGGCAGAGGTTGGTGGATCTCTGAGTTTGAGGCCAGCCTGGTCTACAGAGTGAGTTCCAGGACAGCCAGGGCTATACAGAGAAACCCTGTCTCAAAATAACAACAACAAGAAAAAAAACCTAAGAAAAAAAGTCTATTAAAAAAAGCTTATATTTTTAAAAAATCTGTGCTTCTTAAAAATATTAATTTAACTGTTAATAAAGGCTTCAATGTAAAATTTCATATATGGAGTTATTTTCTAAGAATAAAATCACTACTTTCAATTAAAATGTTTTTTTGTTCATTCTGTACTTGTACTTTTCTTAACTTAGTTTGATGATGTAGCAATGCTAGCCTATACTTGTATCTCAGAAAAACATATATACGTACATATATTAGTTACTTTTCTCATGACTGTGGATACACACCAGACAAACAGCGACTCAGGAAAGAAGGGATTATCTTGACTCACAGCTCAAAGACTGCACTCCACCCTGAAGGGGAAGGCATGAGCATAGGAGCGCGGCTGTTTGCACACTGCATCCTCAGGAAGATAGGTGCTGGCCCTCAGCTCACTTTCTCCTTTTCCCATTTTTATCCAGTCAGGACTTGAGACCACAGGATGGGCTGCTCACATTCAGGGTGTGTGCTCCCTCCTAGTTAACCTCTATGAAGACACTCTCACAGCATGCACATGCAGAGGTCATGTTACCGAGGTGAGTCTAAATCCAGGCGAGCCGACAGTGAAGAAGGATCAACACAAGGCATGCATGAATTAACATGACCAGTGAGAGTCGATCTATCATTCGGTCATAGTGGAGCAAGGACTAGATCTATACTCCCATCTTGTTACACACACACAACACACATACACGCACGCACGCACGCACGCACACACATGCACACACACACACACACACACACACACACACACACACACACACACACACCGTTCCTAACACTCGAGGTATCTCAGAATGGTAAGAGAATTTTTTTATGGCAGAATCTGAGATGACCTGGGTCAATTGCTATTATCTGGGCCCCTTGGATATCTTGATGAAGTCTATATGGCCAGCACAGGGCAGGGACAGACCAGTCCCCAGAGCTCCCACGGGTATGGAAAGGGTGTCTTTACCACAGCTAAAAGAGAAAAACTCACAAGACACAGAGCACTGGAAAACCCAGACACTTTACTGTAAAGGAAATTTTATGGCACTAATGATCCACATTGATGGGTGTGTGTGTGTGTGTGTGTGTGTGTGTGTGTGTGTGTGTGTGTCTCAATTTCCATCTTAAATAAGAAAAAGCAAAACCCAAGTAGATAGAAACAAAGAAATAGTACAGAACAGAGGTGAATAAAAGAGAAAACAGAAAAATCACTGAAACCAAAAGTGATTGCAATCAACAAAATAAAAATAAAAAAACAAAGTACTAATATCAAGTATGATCAATAGCATTACCTATTCTATCAATATTCAAAAGGATAGTAAGAGAATGACTTATCAATAACTTATCAATGCATATCAATAATTTTTGCTATGTCAATAATTTAAATGAACTAATTCCTTGAAAATTACAAACCAAAATTCACTCAACAAGTAGATAATCTTAACAGCTCTGTATCTATTAAATACATTGAACTTATAGTTAAAACCTTTCAACAATGGAAACTTCAGAGCTTGGGATGGTGGTGTACACCTGCAATCCCAGCCAATGGCAGGAGGATCATGAGTTGGAGGTCAGGGTGAGCTATATAATGAGACTCTGTTTAAAGACAAAAACATAATTATACATGAAAAAAATGTTAGGTGACCCTTAATTGTTTAAAAGAAAAACTCACAGAGTTAGCAGGGGAAAGCTAAGAAATCAAAATCTGTTTCAGCTATCTGTAGAGATCTACATCATTTCTCCCTCCACCTCCTCCTCTTTTTTTTTTTTTTTTTTTTTTGAAACAGGGTTTCTCTGTGTGCAGCCCTGGCTGTCCTGATAATCTGTAGACCAGGCTGGCCTTGAACTCAGAGATCCGCCTGCCTCTGCCTCCAGAATGCTAGGATTAAAGGTGTAAGCCGCCACCACCTAGCTACATTTCACTTTCATATTTAATTATATATATTCTCACAAATGGTAGCCTCTTTGCTTATACTAAAGCTAGAAACATTTTTACATATAAAACTAGAAACATTTTACATAAATAAAGATCATACCTGAATACTTATCCTTTAGGTGAGTTGCTAAGTCTGATGTCTTGACAAAGGAGGGTATATTTTTTTGAAATTTTGTTCTAAATGAAATTGCTCTTGTATCGTCCTCAAACAGACACTCACAGGATGACCACAGTGTTGTATGCAACTCTAAGTTTTCTAGTATGCAATTGCGTTGAACAAAAAGGTACTTAAATTCCCAAATACGATCTTAAACAAAAACAAATAAAAAGAAAAAGTCACCAAAATAAAAGGGTCTATGCTCAGAATCAGATTGACTAGACTAACCTAACTGAATCAGCTAAACACAACTTTTATCACTAAAGGATTTGGGCAAAACAGACAAACTATAACTGTATGTTAGAGCAATTGAATTTAGAAACTGCAGACTTGTTTTTTGAGAGCATCTCTCTATAGAGTCCACACTGGCGATGAACTCTTATTCCTCCTGCCTCTGCCTCCAAGTCCTGGAATTACATGTGCACCACCACATCTGGCGAGAGAGCACTTCAATAATCTTGGAATGATTTCTTGGACCCCCTACACAACTGCCTTTTAGAATAGAACATTCTCATTTTGAGACCTAGAAAGTTTTTAACTAGTTGGGTCTTTTTTTTTTTTTTTTTTTTTTTT